AGTGTGCTTGACTGTTGCGCGGAAGGTCTAGGTTTATTTCCAGCCAGCGGAATGTCCTTTTATTTATTCTTTCAACTTGACGTTCTCATAAGTTCGAGAACATTCTCGTCTGATCGAGTTCCAAATATTCTATGTGCCGAAAGTTCCACGCCGAATGTTCCAGAGACCCACGAGAGTACATAAGGGACTCCGCATGGCGAGCGGAGTCAGTCTCGCTCCAGCGCTTAATCATGCTGTTACGCTGACTTTGACGCCCGCGACGCTCTGTTGTAATCTTCTGTTTCCTCTTTGTTTTGGGCACAGTTTGGGCACAAGTTTGCCCCATTAAACGTTTCAGTTTCCTCAGTTATTCCTCGTTCGTCATCTCGTCATCCGTGACAGTATTGTTCTGTTTTATGACTGACACAATCTGGGGGCCCTATAAGGATACTCCACACTGTATCATAGATAAGGAAAGTAGTACCTGTTCAAGTAGTACCAGATAAGGCTGTGATACAGCGCCCCCTTTTTTTTATGTCTCCAGGCACATTGTGTGCCTCCTTCGTGGAAGAGTATTGGCATTTCAGTTTTAATATTTCACACTTATCTTTTTATTTTTTTTTAGTAGATCTGCAGACCGCATGGGTCCAGGCAGGATAGGCAAAAAAAGAAATCACACATACATTAACCATGACAATTAGTGCCGCAATCACAAGGCAAACATCACTATGTGACGCTGCATGTATACTGGCTTCACACTCATGCACACACAAAACAAGAAACTTCACTATCAAATTAGCTTACATGATATTCACAGCATTGTAAATGTATGACACTTATAAATCTTAATCTTGTACAGAAATATTGATATACACACACAAAAAGCACAACAGGCAAATAGTAAAAATTTTTTTTTTTTTTCTATATGCTTAAAAATTAGACAATGCTTTCCAATGATGTTGCAAAATCTGCAAAAGAAAATAAATTACAAAGCAATAAATTCCCATCACTTACAGTTTGAGGGAATTATGAAAACTTAAATATATTAGTATGCGCAAAATAGGAAGTTAGAGTATTCCTGATTATGTCTTGTTGATGTTGTAGAAAGTTGGCTGAAATACAAACCGGGATTTAGGGGGACTTGATTATTAACGAGCTTATGAAGGAAAATTAGTGGAGCTATCTTACGTCAATGCTAAAGGGTCGTTATTTTACGTGTTTGCCTTAACAAGGGACGTGCAAAAAAAATATAATCTGTGCAATTATATTTTTCATAGATGAAACGAATGGCTCATCTTTAAACCATGATGTAGAAAACCCGAGACTGTGGTAAAAGCTGAGAAACTTGGTCGAAGAAGAAAGACAGTGGAAAGTAGTTCCAAGAAGTTTCTTAAAATATGAAGTTTTTTTGTTTTTTTTAATGGTTGTAAGTGAACGTGCTATGAGTCATTTTGCGGGCAGGGGTTCAGTTGGAAGTCCTATCAGTTCTCGTTTAGATGAAGCGCAGCCTTTCCATACTCGGGCTGGAAGGGAAGGGGGTCCGTGTGTTGGTTTTGTTGTGTTTGTTTTGTTTAAGGTCCTAAGCTTTCAGTTTGGGATTGAGGTCACCGTTTACGTTTGAGGTGAAGACCAGTGTGGGTAGGATTGTATAGATAACAAAGGTTGACCTTGTGACGTCGGTGGTTGGTGGTTAGTTTTTGGATATATAAGACATTGAGGAAATAGATGCAGTAGCTGAGTTTAAGACGTTTTTTTCCCCTGTCTTTCTTCTTGACCAAGTTTCTCTGCTTTTACCACAGTCTCGGGTTTTCTACATCATGATCAATATCCACCAGCTTGCCTGCGCACTCACTGTTTTTTCATCTTGAAATTTTCTCTAAAATCTCTGTTTTTTGGTAAATGGATTCCACACTATGAAACAATATTCTAACTTTGGTCAACTGAGTGGATTGAGGGTTAGGCGAGTAATTTGACGTTTGGAAAGGTGTCATTAAGTTCATTTTGAACCAGACCGAGCTTGCAGAAGGCTGCTGAAGAACCGTCGTTGACATGATTTGACCAACTCAAAGTTTTGTCGATTGTGACTCCGTGGTGTTTGAAGGGATCGGCTTCAGAAATGGGAATATGAAGTATGCGGTAAGAGAACAGGAAAGGCTTCTTTTTAGTAGTAATAACAAGCAAGGCTGTCCTATAAACGTTAAACTTCACGTTCCATTTGTTGCACCAGTCTTGAATTGTACCGAGAGTTGAATCTAGCAAATTTTGATCAGAAATTGAAGTTATATCTTTAAATAAGACACAATCGTCTACAAATAACCTAATACTCGCAGATGGGTCTATGATATCCACAATGTCATTTACATAAATTAAAAAGATTAGTGGTCCCAAGACGCTTCCTTGGGGCTTCCTTGATGTTACACTTAACATCTCCGAACAACAACCCGCTATTTCTACAAACTGCTTGCGACGTAGTAAGTGGAAACAAACCCACTTCATGGTTTCTGGGGGAAGCCCGATACCATGTAGTTTTGAAGTTTTCTATAAGGAACTCGGTCAAGTGCTTTACTGAGGTCCAAAAAAATAACATAGACCTGGCTGGTTTTGTCTAGTACTCTTACAAATTCATGAATGGTAGATAGTAATGGGGTGGTGGTTGAAAAGCCTTTGATGGATCCGTGTTGAAACCCTGACAGTATGCTGTTTGCGCATAAATATTCTGTAATGGCATTACCAACAATATGCTCGTGCAGCTTGCAACACATACATGTTAACGAGATGGGCCAGTAATTGCTCAGTGATAAGGTGTCCCCTTTCTTAAAAACAGGTACAAGTCATTCGGTAATACACCAGAAGAAAAAGAAACTGAAGATCACAGTCAAGAGTTTTGCCAAAATTTCTGCTTAACGGTGCAAGTAGGCATTCGGTATGCTGTCTGGACCGCACAAAGCTTTCACTTGTATATGTTTAGCAACATTAAATAAACGCCTCGATAACATATAAAGTCAGTGTTCGAAAAAGAAGAGTCATTGTACTCGGGAGGATCAGGGTAAGAACAAAAACGGACTGAAAGTATGCATTGAAATGCTGAGCAATTTCATCATGATCGGAAGTGAAAACGTCATTCACTTTAATCTGATCGACTGACTTTCTTGTATTACCAAGGTACCTCCAAAATTTCTCAAGGTCATTCTTTATAAAATTAGGAAGCATAGTAGAAAAATGGTAACTCCACACTCTCTGAACATGCATCTTCAATTGATTCTGTGATTCTGGAAGTCTACAATCGTTTCTGACCTTCCCTCTCTTCAAATGTTTAATTCTACGCTTTACGTCAATGATCAATCTATTAATCGTGGATTTTTTGGAGCGCAGCTCTTAGGTGCCCGTTTCTGGCTTAAGCGGCGTCGCCGTCGCCGCGCGGTGCATTATGGGTAAATTTCTCCGCTAAATTTAGCGGAAAAATTTCCCCGCTAAATCTAGCGGTAAAATTTTGTGACCTTCAGTACCCTTCCCTCCTCCTCCTCAAGAGCTGCACTCTAATTCGGCGTTACAGGGAGATGTAAACGGCTTTCATTTTTTTTTTTCAACGCACTTACATACATTGGGAACGAACACATTAAGCAGTAACTGCAGGCTGTAGTGAATTTATGCCAAAGGACATTAACGTCAGAGTCATGAAAGCTGTCAAGTTAATTTTCTAAATAATTGGTGATGCAATGATCGTTAAATTGAGAAAAATCTTTGACAATTTTTACTTTATCTTTCTTGTTGGTTGATTGATTCATTAAATAACAACGGAAATTAATGAGTTTGTGGTCAAACAGTTTGTGTTCAACTGAAACTGAAAATTCAGTAAAACTTTGACTGATAAAAGCAATGTCTAAAATAGAACCACTTGACCCGTGCTGATGTGTGACCTCACTGACGACCTATAGATGGTCATACATAATCATAGTATCGAAAATAATTTCAGTTTTCACATGAGCCAGATGACCATTTAGTCCAGTTGATATCGGGGAGGTTGAAATCACCAACAAGTAAAATTTTATTGTTACAATGTGGAGACATGATAATATAATATATGTGAAAGTTCAACAGGGGAGTTGGAGTGTGTGGTTATAATCATAGAGATTTAATTAAAGGGAACATTGCGTGTTTTTGTTTTTTGCAGAAGCATAATTGAGAGGCTCCATACGCACATGTATTTTCTGCAAGGTGCTGGATTTCTTTTTAATTTTTTTTTTTGTGCATTGCAACTGTGCATTTTGCAACAGTGAACATAAAACATTTTTATAGAAATTGATAGGCGTAAATTGGTGGGATGTTGAGCCAGAAGTTGGATTCGGTGCCCAGCATAAAATTGATGAAGTTAACTGAGCAGAACGAGCCAACGAAGCTTAATATTGCGGCGAACGTGTGCCAAAAGGCCCTTAGGTGGTCTACATTAATCCTCAGTTCTTCGCTGGGAAATTCCAGATGCTTTTCGTTGGTTTGGAGCATAAACTCCCAAAATTTACACTAGAAAAACAAAATAAAAATGCTGAAAGATGTCCACACAATTGAAGAATCTGTCTCTGCTCGTTTATTTTCTTGTTGCTAATCGTCCAACGAGCTGCTGAGATGTGTTTAAAGGGAGTTGTTGACTGAACTTCAGAACCGTGCCATTTGAGTTGTCATCAGGACCAAACTATTTTGATCCCGACACGAACTAGATACTCTGTGCCGTGGCTACGAACATTGTCAAACGCAAGACAGCAAGCGTTTGCTCGGGCGGCACTCGTTTCGTTTTGACGCATCGGCGGGAGGACGTCGGATCCTTGCCAGGATTTGAGCGCGACAGCGTCGCCTCATATCAGAATATGGCGCCGTAAGCTCAGTTGACCTCGCAGTAGTATATTTGCCGTTTTTCTGGGGTGCCATTTAGCTCGGAACCTTTTCTTGCGTTGGAGCGAGGTTGGATCGGCGTGGTAACCTTTCTGCCAGAGTGTGCATCAGGTGTCCTTTCCTTTGTCTCGTTTCAGTGTGCGGAGCGTGATGCACAAACACCTCGAGAAGATGGGAGAGGTCACGTTTGACAAGATCTTCAACCAGAAGTTAGGTGAGGCATGGGACTCGACCTGGCCCCTCTGATTGTCCCCTCTGAATCGGCTCCCTGTTGGCCCTGTGTGGAACGCACAACCTATCTGAGCTTGGGTCTTTCTTATTTGGCCGTTTGTTTTTAAGGCAACATCCGCGTGGGTTTCTGTTGCGGTACTCGACGGAAATATCAGCCCGTCTTTTTTGGGCATCTGCCCTTCGCGCGTAAATCTTTGTGCTCGAAAAAGGCTTTTGCGTTTATGGCTTTGCTGGTCTGGATCGGCTAGCGCGGACTGAATGCCCTGCACGAGTGTGGGAGATAATGGTCGGGTATAGTTTTACTAAGTACAGTTAATAATTTGATGGGGTTCCGTAGAAAATGAGAATTCTGAACAACGTTCTTCTTTGTTCTTGCTTATTAGTATGTGGGTTTCAAGCTGCCTCTATTCTTGTTTTCACCTCAAGAAATGTAGCGAAAAAGAGTTTGGCTCCTCACGGAACATTATTAATTTCTTTCTTTTAACAAGAATTAAGATATATGTAGGTGTATTTTAGATTAGATGTACGCTATCTTAACAAGACTTCTGCCAGGAGCATCTGATATCCAAATCTTGTTAGAACTACTTCGCACGGCAAATGAACGATGCGCAAAACTTGCTTTTTTCTCAAGAGGAAAACGACAATGTTGCTTTTATTTATTAACTTTTTTTATGAAACTTTGTCCCATATTGTCTTCCTTCGCAGTTCAGTACCCCGTAGCATCGTGCCTTACAGTGCATATCCGAAACATCAAACTTTTCTTTTTAATTTTGAAACATTTTAGTGATAGTTAGAAACGTGCAATATTGTAGACACGTTGCCTATACACTAGCCTCCAATTGCAAACGTCATTACACTGCGTTCGCGAGATCAGCCGCATTATTCGTCTTAAATTATTGACCCGTACGAACGTGCCGACAATGTGCGTGTAGTTCTAACTTAATGTGCACGCAGAAAGGGTTGTACGAGGGGATTTTCGTTGTTTCATCTTGCTTCATTCGACAATCATTTGTCGGTCCAGGCTTTTGCATTGGTGTATCATGCAACGATTGGGTAATGTGCCTTTGGCGATCAAAAGGTATCTGGGGAATTTAGTAATAAGATTCTACTTCATTTTTGTCTCGCTCGAGTCCTGAACGTGTGCTAGTTACGACTTCACACTCGCTTCAGTAGCGCGACTTTGAACGCTCATCACGACCCCTTGTTGTGTGGCCTCTGTTTCCAGGCTACCTGTTATTCAAGGATTTCTGCGACAACGTCTGCGACGAGCAGGTGCCGCAGCTAAGTTTCTACGAGGAGGTGAGCGTCTCTCACACCTGTTTGGGGCAAGCATGGCATTGTTGTATGGGGTTCCGCGAACGTTCTAATTTTCAAATCGTTGTTTCAAATATTGTGCTCTCTGATATTCGCTTCGAGATGAACTGCAATATTAATGTTTTTTCGGTGCGTCGATCACGGTGGGTTAGCCCCGTTGAACGCACTTGTCACCGAATGCCGAAGCACCGTGGAGAGGCAATGCCCACAGAAGCAAGCTCCGCGGCTGTTGCTTCTCCGCAGCGGTGCTCGGTGAAAAGCACGCTCTATGGGGCTGACCCGCCGGGATCAACAACACTTTGAGAGTGCAAATATTGCAGTCGCGTGCCCGGGAGGAACGCGTGCTTTCAAGGCGGGGCGTTGTGTACCTGGCGTATTTAATCCTTTAAGTGCCTGGGACGAGCTGGGCTCGTCGGCTGGTTTTTGGCTAAAAATGCCACGGACGAGTTCAGCTCGTCCAGTGGTTTTTTCAGTAGCCCTCAATTCCACGGACGAGCTAGGCTCATCCGAGTAGTTTGCGGCGCTGATCATAGATGGCAACACTCGTTTTAGTTGGCGCATTTTGTTTTTTTCGCCGCCGCTGATTTTTGCGCAATAAAATTTTGAAATTTTATCTGTATTACTAGAGGAATAAAACTTCCAAATAAAAAATTATGGCACTTTTAGGTTACTTTCAAAAAAAAAAAAAGGGGGGCACTTAAAGGGGTACTTCAGTGATTTTTTCATGGTCGCTGATTTGCCTCAAAATTGGTTTAACGCACCAATAGACATGGCTCTACGAGTTCCCGAAGTATTGTGTGAAAAGAAACAAAATTTGCAAAGTTCTTGAATTTTCGAATTTCGTTTTTATTGTGTTTCTTAAACCGGGAGCCCCTACTGGCAACATTGAAGTGTTACGACAGAAATGGTACGAAGTGGGCAGTAAGCAGCAGTAAGCCACGTTCCCAACTGATTACAAGATGTTCGATGGTGGGAAAAGAATGTTTGGTAACTGATTCACAGAGAAGCATGCAAAAAACGCTCGAAATACTCTGTTTAAAACTACATGCACGACCTGAAAGTCTGTACCATGTGTGACGTCACGCCACCGAAGAGCGCGCAAAAATTTGAATGTTGGTTTTGGCATCACCTTCATTTACGGTTTTCTCAATTGCTATACTGAATTTCGAGAAAATAAATAGCATATTGTGATGGCTAAAGTCCCGGTAGCTTGAAAGTGCTATTTGTTTAGGTAGCTGAAAAAATGGTTAAGAAACCCTTGAAAAGAATTTTATTAACAATCTGGTAATGACATGCGTGTTAAAAAATTAATCTGACGCGAAAAACAATAAAGGTTTACAGCAATATTGATGACGCGAGACGCAATTTAGTCGGTAGTCAGCTCCTTTTCACTTCTTTTCTTTCTTGGCATTTCGGGCGCGTGGAGGAGAGGTGGATCGGCTTTGCCTTCACGTTGAGGTGGAAAGAGCGGATTACCATTCCGTAACGTCGGGGACTGCACGCAGATTTTAAAATAAATCTCTCGTCGTCAATATTGCTCTGAAAAATTAATTTTTTTTGCGTAAACTATTTCTTGGCACTCGAAGAAACTGATACTTTGTGAACGTTTGTGTATTTTCTGCGCTAAAAGTTTCAAAATTAGACTGTGGCTGTTGTGCATGCAGGAATATATACTAGGCAGAAATGACTTCACAACCTGCATTCATAATTTATTATTGTCTTTTCTTCTTTTTCCTCAAATTTAAAATTTCAGAAAGGATATTTGGTTATAAGCTGGGCATCACACTGGGTTTAATTTCATGTCAAATGCAGCATTTAGTCGCCATTCCAATCTAGGCATTGACCTTTCTGAGTCTAGTCCATAAATATAGTAAGATTAAAATTAACTTGGCTTAGAAATGGACAAGTGGAAGCTTGGGAACAACCATCACGAGTTCCGCTGGGTTTTCGTTTAATCTGGTGCAGTAGTCAAAGGCTTGGAGAAACTATTCATTATTCAAACTCAAAATCCCTTATTCGCACATGCCTAGTTGTAAAACTAGCCGTTTGTTTTACTCTGCCATTTCGACTGCTGGTTCGTCTATGTTGCATAACTTCCCTTACCCGTACACCGCAGGATAGAAATCTGCTCTTAGCGAGCGAAGCAACATTTTCCTCGCAGATGTATTTCTGTGCTCATATTGACCTTGAGAAATTCCAGAAAAAAAGCTACCAAAAATTGTTCATTTTTTTTTTTTTTTTAATTTTTAAATACTGTTTGGAGGTAGATATTGGCCCCCTGCATTACGGCCATTATTTTTCTGGTTGGTTTTTAGGGCATAGCAAATCTTTGCAACATCAGAAACCGGTCGTATCCGCTGACTGAAAATGCTTTTGGCTTCGCCGCCGCATGGGATTTCGAAACACACGTCTTTTGAACTTCTTAGATTTCTATTTGAGAAGTATATATACATATATATATTTATTGTGGGTTTGTCCCATTCGGAGTGTTAAGTTAACTTGTCTGTATTAAAAGTAAATTAAAGGGGCCCTGCAATGACTTTTTACTAATTTTTAAATTGCACCGAACCTGAGCGCACTGAACGTAGTAACTTAATGAAACTTTTCTTTTCTCGAAATTCCCTTTATTTTAGAAGTTATAGGCAAATTAAAATTACAAAAACAAGCAAAAAAAAAACCTCCCCATGACATCCTTGGTTGCTTGAGAGTGGCCGTGAACTAGAGGAAGGGTAGTGAGCTCATCTAACGCTCACGGCTGCCGCACTCCGAGTTGACGGCGCGAGAGGGCGCCACTAAAGCATGTTCTCGATATGCTGTATGCAGCGGGCAGCCAGAGCGGCTCTCATTGCATTTGCTGCGCGATTAAAGGCTAATTCGGCATGACACTTCATTGGCCACAAACGACAGCAAACTCGGGGTAAAGATCAGTTCAGAATGGGAGCTACTTTGCGCTGCCACACCGCGAAGCGGCCAAAACGCAAGACAAAGCTTCTCGCCGAAGGCCTTCGGGACGCTCGGAGCCGGTCGGATGCTCCTGCCCAAACGACCGCAGCGCCGCCGCGAACATCAGGGACCTTTCCGTGTCGGCGTCTGATCCCACTATTCTTTTCTAGTATGCGCCGCCTTTTCCACCGCTTGGTGGCGGGTATGTCAACGGGTCATTTCTTGTTTCCGTACGTTATGAACTGCATTCGTTTCTTTTTTGATCAAAAATACTGAACAAAAACTACTTTTATAAATAATTAAAACGGTTCGCGCCACTTATATTTTGTATTTCGACTAAAAAGAAGCTTTTAGCGGCTCTGACCAGTAGTAAGCCCAGGACCAAACACGTCAGATTTTGCGCGCTTTCGGTACCGTGGGTCGCCCCCGTCGGTGGAGGAGGTTTCCGCGTCGTCCGGTTAAAATATGACGCACTGATATTTAGTTACTCTCCCCGTGCCTGCTGGCTTGACCGAACCCCAAGAGACGTGGAAACCACAAAAAAGGTGGACGCTTAAATATGATTGCAGGGCCCCTTTAAGTACATGACTGCAGGAGCCCTTTTATGTGCTAAGAATAGAGGAGACTGTTTAAAGGTAAAGGTATAGAAAAATAATGCAAGAGCCGAAATAAGGCTGTGAAAAAGGAACAATAGCCGTAGCGGGTTGGTGTGCTCCTCTACATTGGTTTCACTCCATAGAAATAAAACCAACAAGCAAAACATTTCTGAAAAAAAAAAAAAAAAAAAAAAAAAAACTTGTTTACATTTTTTTGGGGGGGGGGGGGGGAGGGATTTGGAAAATTTAAGGTGCTTAATCATTATGTATTTCCTTTTCCTTTCACAAATATTTCAACATAATAAATATCAACCAGGCTTTTTTTTTTTTTTTTTCTTTCTTTTCCAACATCACTAGGCAGTAACAAATTGTGTAAGAAGTAGACGTCAGCAGTGTGTAGGAGAATGGCAGAAGGGCTAAACACAACTAGAAAGGGGCCGAAAGGCGTGGGAACTTCGGTGGTTTCTGTAACCGCGTTCGTCCCTTTTCGTAGCCGGGGGATCTCCGTTGTACAGGAAGGTAACAAACCGAGTCTGTCTTAAGGGCGTCGGGTTCCCCCACCCCCCCGTCAGCAGTCGGACAAAGACAAAGCACTCTTTGTTTGCTTTTTTTACGAGCCGGTTCGGATTGCAAAGAAGATTGATGATTGTTTTCCGCTTTCCAAGCAATCGGATATTCAGTCAGCTGCCACCCTTTGGGGAGGGGGGGATGGAAAAAGAGACGGTAAACACTGGACTGAGGTTTTCGTAACATGCCGTGGGTTTTCCTAATTATCATGCGGTTAAATATTGATTTTCCGTTAGGTTTTGAGTGTCATTTTAAGTTTTTGTTTTCCTTTTTTGGGGGGGGGGAAGGGGGGACTGTATTTTTACGGTTTACACATTGGAAGTCTATTTGTGGGCCAGCTGACATTAGAACTTTCCTGTAACAACTCCTCGTAGCCACATCTCTGTGAACTGTTTCTCTACGCATAGTGTGGGGGAGCCATTGGAATCGTAGATGCCTTGAAGCCAGATGTTGCTCGATGCAAAGTCTTTGTCACAAAAGCATGATACATCTTTCCCAAGTGTAACTGTGCCCCTGCTTTTGTGAATGGGCAGTAATTGGACGTAGAACTATGTCTCCCTTTGCGCTTGGAAGGGGTGCAAAGTTGACAAGTCAGTGTCACGAAAACTTGGTCACGCAAGTGACGTTGCACAGATAACACCGGGCAGTGCGCACGCGCGTCCCTTTTTATCTGCTGGCTTGCTCGTTTGCTCGCTTCAATATGACACGCTCCTGTCTGATTAAAGCTGCGATAGACACCGCTCCGGCAGCCGGGATTTCACAATCTTCGCTCATCGCTCTGGACAGCGGCCGAGCTCGCGTGCTCTGTGGCACGGGCAATTCATGCGACTCTTTCGCGGGACTGGGCGTAGCGTTAGAAACAATCGCATGCAATTCCGC